AAAAAAAACAATTAATTACTTCGAAATAATTTGGATAAAAAATAAAACAAACAAAACAAATAATTGTATACTTGTAAGAGATACTTACGAGTATTTTATTTTTGTTATCTTACCTCATGTAAAGGTAAAATTGTACTTAAACTTACGGGGCTTGAATTGCATCTTATTCTTTTTCAATCCCTACTATTAGTTCACTCTCGCTCTTTACACATTTACACAAGCACACACACAAACCGACAGACAGACATACGCACACACACACACACACATATATATATATATATATATCTTCAAATTTTCAATCGTTAATGAAATACTTTCTTTTTATCCATTAAGTTCAAATGCATTTTTTCTTAAATGTAGTGGGTGACACTTGGAGTAATACAGTATTTTCAAATATTAATTCATTAATTAAACTAAAAAATGAATAAATAGTAGTAAACCAAAATAATAGTCCTATAAGCATATATAGAAAAGAAAATCGTTCGTAATGTCCCTGTAGCGCAATGGATAGTGCGTTGGACTTCTAATCCAAAGTTTTCGAATCCCACCTGGGATGGCCTAACTTCTGAGAATGTGATTGATTTTTTTATTAGAATAATTACAATTAATTGATGAAGAATTAGTAACAAACAAAAAAAGATAGTCCAATACCATATATAGAAAGGAAAATGGAAAATTGCAAGAAAATTCGCTTTCTATTTTGTCACTTAATATTGTGATTCTGTCATATGTTAATACGTATTTATATTAATTGTAGCTCTTCAATAAAAAATAACTAAAACAAAATTTTTCTTTGTTGACCTACGTAAGAATTAACTTAATTTTTTTATATCACTTGTTTAGGCTGTGCTGATAAAAATCAATTTCTTTTTCATTTTATTATTCTTTTTGCCATACTAAGCATTTCAAATATAGAAGAAAATAGTACTAGTAGCCCAAGCAAGAGCTACTTATTCGAGAAATCTAGCAATCCAAGCGTTTCCAAACTCTTTTTCATTAGAGTTTCAACTAACCCTTTCTTGCAGACACACGAAATAAACAATTAATATCACCTATTCAACATTTAATTAGCAACGACGGTAACCAAACTGTCATGGTTGTGACCTCAGGGTTTGCGTCACTCCTATTGAATTATAGGTTCAAGTCCTGATGAAGGTCCACCGTGTAAAGAGGATGCATGTTAAACCTGTTGATTATCTAAGACCTCACGTTGGCTTTGTATGAAAAAGTTTGGTGTTGCTCTCGCGTCGCCATCATCACTTGACTAATGCTCAAAATTATGAAATCTGTTTCCACTAGCCCTATTGCAGATTTGAAATATGACATTAACGAAAAAAAAAAGAACTTAAATTAGAATGTCTAAAATATCTCTAAGCGAAAACGAACTCTAAGCGGTTTCTTTAACTTTACTTAAATTTCTCATTTAAATTCGAAAACGGAAGAAAAAGTTATTTTTTGAACATACAAATACTTAGCAGCTACAAAATTTAATACTCGGACGAAAAATTATAATTTTTTATGAAACTGCCCTATAAGAACGCTGAAAACCATTTTTATCATACATAATACATTTTTTAAAATATATTTTAAGATGCTGTAAATTAATAAGGTGGATTGAATAAGTTAAGTTTCTGCATATTTGGTAAGAAAGGGCAACATCATGCAATATATACAGTGCCTTATTACCGTCATAAGTAACGTGATATTAGCTTTACTGCACATTTAATCAGAAAACATTTCGTAAATTAAAAGGTATTTTAACTAAAATTTTATAGCATATTTACTTTTTATTTCGCAATTTTTTTACTAATTATTTTAATACATTTCAAATAAAAAGTTTTGTAGCAAATGTTTCGCTCACTTTATTAAAAATCATTCTGTTCGTTGAAATCTCAATCAACCTCACAAACTTCAGTAAGTTATTATAGTTCCATTAGTTTTTTAAACTTATTAAAATGTTAGGTGGATAAGCAGGGTGCGTGGTACGATTGCATTCGATTCCAGATAGAGCATCTCTGGAATTTTTAGGAGGGAATATGCTAAGGTAATGTTCGACATCACAAAGATCAAGATATTAGGGAACTCTAACATCTGAAGGCCACAAATAATCGCAGTTATTGTGACCTCGCTTTGACCTAGCATCCCTCATAGACACCATATGCTGGCAAGAACGTGAACGGAAATATAATCTTCTAGGGCCTCTCTAGGGTGAAATATCCAATTTTTCTTACAAAAGAGAACAGTTCAAGAATTACTTGGATGTCTACAAGACTATCAATGAGACTCGTATTGAAAATTACTAAATGCGTCATACGTACTTGCTATTGTGATATTTCTTCATATTTATTAGTGATATTTTTTAAGTAGATAATTTTTTTCTCATTTGAATCCTTTTCCCTATTAACATTACATTTTTATGAGTGATGTAAATAAGTGTTTAATTTATAGTAACAATTTTAGTTTGTAAAATTTAATAATGTTATAGTTTAATAAAATTCTAGGAGGAGAGAGAGGCAATAGTAGTATTTATAAAACTTTTACGTAAATTTTAATCCTTTATTTGGAAATTACTTTGTTCTTATAAATGAATGTCTTTTGAAGAAATTATTTTCAACCGAAGTAAATTCCTTTTTGAAAACTAGAAAAAAATTGATATCATTTGTACTATTGCAACTTCTATATTACTTATTTTCCCTCTTTTTTCAATTTTAATTAAATGTTGATAGTTGTTAAGGTAACGTAGGCTGTTTTGTTTTTAATTAGTGATACGTCACTTTTATCTCTCTTTCAATTTTTAATTTCCGTAACTAAACTTCCATGTTCAATGGGAATAAGATATTTGTTGGTTATAAGTATTTAAATACACTTCATGTAAACCACCATTTAGCAAAAGAAGGGATTTGTATATTTGCTCTAATATTTTCTCTAGATCACTCTATGTTTTTGTTAACCTTACAATGTGGCCATCAGAAAATGGTGCTTTTTAAGTCAGAGAACACTTCTTTTATGGAAGAGGGAGTATATAAGATTATAAATATATACTTTTCAGGACTAGATTGAAAAGTTATTTTTAGGTGTTAGATCCTAAGGCCATTAGAAAAATAAGTATTGTGGAAGAAGAAGGAATGTTATATAAAACTGAAGTATTTAAGTTGTTTTCCTAATATTCGCTTTATATGACTGAAAAGAATATTTTTTTAAATATCTTACTTGAAGAATCAAATTTTCGTGTTAATTTGTACACGAAAAAAATGGGATATCTCCAAAACAACTAAATAACTTTCAATGAAGTTTTTAACACTTATATTATAAGCCCTTTATAGTGTAAAAAACAGAGGTTTTTAGATATTTGAATTTAATCATATTTTGCAGTTATTTTTAGCATAGAAGTAATTTTGACGAAAATTAATTAACGTCAAATCTGAATGTTTATAAAATGTTTATTTCTTAAATTATTCTTTACCTTGCGATTTGTCACACTTCAACACTTCAGATGAATGAAGAAGTATGTCAATGAAATTAAAATTACATTATGTCCAAAAGATTTTTATTTATGCTTTTTTTTCTAACATTGAAAATTTTGCTAAAATCTCATAAAAATAATGTTGTTTTTTCAAAAACCAATAATGATACATGTTATTTATTTAATAATTATGACTTTTTAAACCATTTGTATGTTCTTTAAAACAGTAAATTTCTTTCTGAAAATATATTTTTGAAACATTTGTATCTGGACCTAGTTGGATGCCTTTAAAAAGGAAAGAAATTTCTTTATAGTGTTAATTTAAAGATAACAGAAATCACATCCTTATTGTAGGGCGAGTGTGAGTGATATATAGGTTTATAATGTGCAATCAAAATATGTTCTTTTCTATGAGAAATACATTTACAAAAAAAAATATATTACTTAAGTATAAGTTTAACTATTGTTACAGATAAATACAGAAGAATAATCAATTATAAAGATGATAAAAAAATTCCATGATCATTAATTATTTTAATATCCATGCAAGCGTATGCGTTTACATATTGATAATAATATTATAATTTATATATTTATGCAAAACTGTTTATTAAGACATTTCGTATTCTACAAATTAAATGCGTATATACTTAAAAGACATCAATGAGCTTTTATTCCACATTCAAAAATTATGAGCAGAGATTTTCCTCAAACTTGTGAATAGAGTATTAGGTTTAACTAAGTTTAGCATTACGACTTAATTATTCCTTTTTCATAAATTAATAAGACTGATAATGTGCACTCCTATTTTATAAAACAATTATCTTGAAACTTTACTTTTAAATCAAAGTTCCAGTTTCAAATACTGTATTTGATTGAGAAGGTTAATGTAGGAAATTAACTTTCTCTCAACTTTTCCATAACAAGCCACCAATTCCCCAATATTTTCTGAAAGATATAGTGAATAGTGTTTGGATTTGTGTTAGATTATGCATATTGCATCGTTTCTGTGTGCATAAAAGAACAAAGTGGAATTCAATAACTACAGATTGGAGGTCCTATGAAATATACTGAAATGAATTTTAGCTTATATTACTGGAATTTATTCTTAGTTTAAAGGATTTTAATTTATCATGAATGCGAGGTGGAGAAAACAGTTTTGTGTACAATAAAGTATTAATCCATTGAGTCGTATGAATTTATCTTACATTTATATGATTTATGCTACTACATTACTTGGTTGTAAATTTTCACATTTAATTATGTACATTAAAAAGGCCTTAGTCAATTTTAGGTTAGCCCAATTAAATTTAATTAATGCCAAAATGCAGACATACCATGGAAGATTGAAAGGAAATGCGCATCTTTTGAAACATAATTAAATGAAACACGATAAATGTTTTCGTACCATTCCATGTTAGGGGGTTGAGACCAAATAATATTTACCAATCGATTGTTATCACTATCTATACATAGGGAAGAAAAGTCACTTATTCACTCACTCATCACGAAATCTCCAGAACCATTAGACCTACTATCTTAAAATTTGGAAGGAATATTTTTTTTTAATGAGTAGATGCCCACTAAGAAAGGGTTTTGTGGAAATTGAATCCCAGCGGGGGTTGTGGGAGTGTTATAAATAAAAAAAAGTATAGTTCCCATTTTTGAAGTATTAGATTTAAAAGTTTGAAATTCGGCCAACGTGTCTCTACTGTTAAATAGGTCCACATAGAATGGGTTCAATGGAAATTGACTCCCAAGAGGAGTTGTGGGGTGTTATAGTTTTTAAAAAAATCAAAGCTTTTGATCTGTTAGACTTAGACTTTAAATTTGGTATATATATTTCTTCTGTTAAATAAAGATCCAATAAAAATGGGTTTTGCAGAAATCGACTCCCAAAGGGATGTTACAGCGAAACAAATTCCGTTTTTAACAATTAGACTTGAAATTCAGTAAGCAAGTTTCCTTTGTTAAGAAGTTTTTGTGGAAATCAAATATAATGAGAGAGGAGATGCCGAGGTGAAAATGAGGAATGTACTTCTGTTTTAGAAATTCAAGTCCTACTCCTTTTAAATCAAGAAGCTAGTGCCGTA